CCAAAGAATGTTTTGTTTTGTCCAGGATTAGACTAACACTGTAATAATTTTTCTACTTAATCAAAAGAGGAATGGGAGGCAAGTGGTGAATATCAATGCTGATTTAGGAAAGGCTGTTGTGGCACCATCATTCTGTAGAGTGCACCAGCAATGCTTTGGTTAATTTTACCACTCCATGTAGTAATGTAATTTCTAAGTTCGAAAAAGATTCCTTTCTGGGTCATCCAGGCCACAACATGAAAATCCTGACATTTTGCAATCAGAAAAGAGACTTGCATAGGGAAAAGAGTGGGAATAAATGGTGATAGTAAAATCAAAATTTTCATAACTGTTATGAAAAACATAGAATATAATAAATCAATCTAAAGAATATAATAGAAAAACATAGAATATAATAAATCAATCTAAAGCCCAAGGATACCACTAGAGAAGCTGAGAGGACAATGAGACTCAACAAGCTATCTCATGACACTAAAATTCTTTAATGCTACTAAGTCCTAAGAGATGCTTGAAATCATTTCATCCTTTACATTTGCTCTGGTGTGTTAAAAGCCTGTGGAATAGCACAGGAGTTGGGAACCAACATTCATAACTAGCCCTCTTCTGCATGTGAATAATACACTGCCTAAGTGACAAAAGTGAGTGCAGTTGTAAGGACACGTGAGGTTTCTCCCTTCACCTTGGTGTTTCACGGATATGAATTATAATAACCTCATCATTTCAAGGCTGAAAGTTGACTGAATTCATGCTTCCTTCTTAATGGCTTTTCAGCCCTGTGTGCTTTTGTTGTCATGTCTCATATTCACGCACATGGGAATTTTTATCAAAGTGAAAGGCATCAGAGTGACCACAGAGTAAAGCAATTTTGTTCAGAGAAGAGACTCTTGGTGATTTCTTCTCTGCAAGGTGGCCCAAAATACAGAGTGGTTCATATCCCTGTATAGAAATACAATCTCACATAACCAATGTAGGGCTGTGTTTGATGTGTTTCAAGCATTTCTGAAGTATTTCTAAGCATATTAGTATGATATATGAATGCATTCTCAATATAGGGAAATAACCTTGAACTTCAACTATATTACTGGAAGAAAGGTTATATTCTTCATTCCAAAGAGGTGTATAAGAGTATTTAACGTAAGGAGCATTTCTCATTTCAGCTCTGTGGAAATGTAAATTGCCTATACCGGTATAGAAACCCTCCTTCGAACTTCCAGCTTGATATCAATACTTATTTTGCTTTTGCATGTCCCTTGTTTATTTTCCTCTGCATCTGCATGCAAAAAATTCCTTCCTATCAGTATCAGTTACCCACATACAGCCAGAAGAGATTGGATCTCACCCCATTACAGTAACATTTTTCAAACTGTTATAGCTATGAGGTGAAATCTCATTTATTTTATGGCCACAAATTCCAACAAGGAACAGGAATAATTTCCTCTTCATGGAAAGAATTTCTAAGCCTCTGAGACAATGCAACACTGGTTTTTCCAAGGAAGGTAGCTTAAAAATTTTTAAAGAACTTTACTAAGAAGAGGTTTACCTGTTTTTTAAAATTTAATATATTGTTGATAATAGACATCAACATGTCTGGTCTTCTGTTGCTATGGAACTAGGAAGAAACTGAAATGTCTCCCTTTACTTGCTTTCACTGGTGTGAGAAAGACAGTAACAAATAGGAACACACTTTCTGAATTAAGATTTCTAGAACTTTCCTCATATTTTATCTGTATGGTTTGAACTGATTACTGCTGTCCTGTCATTCTAAAATACATAGAATGACAATTAAATATTTAATAAGATTTAGGTAGTCCTCATTAAGCAAGACTGACTTCTGTACTTCTACTCCACATAGAAAGATGCACTTGATATTCAGTAATACTTTCTCTGCTTTTAAATCTGATAACTCTTGAAACCACAACAAAGGAATCAAAATTAAATATATTAATAATAATCTCATTGTGATTATCTTTGAACAACATAATTTATACAGTAATCATATATCATTCTTGATATTTTTACCCTAGAGGTTTGGAAGGCTTCATTTCAAGAAAACTAAAATCCAAAACTCTGATATTCTCTCCAAACAGAAAGGAGGTTAAATTCACTTTTTTTTAGGGTTACATTTTGCAGGAGTCAATCATGTTTATTATTATCTACAAGCCAGTGGTAAGACTGCCTTGTAGATAATAATAGTGTACTTTTTTATTATGTATGTGGGCACCTACATATATACATTTTAATTTCTGCATACATGCACACACATATAGTGCATGCACCTACAGGCTTTTATGTGAAAACATTCATGACTATGACTTGCTGATGGTTTTCAAAGACAGTGTAAAAAATTCACACTAATATTTTGCCGTATTTTCCTGAACACATGAATTTGTGGTCTTGGAGCAAGCCTCTAAGCCACAGACATTTCAGTGTGTCACAGCCGGAAGAATGGTGACCATAGACATTCAGTATTAAAATAAAACTATTTTATTTGGAAGATGGAATTAAGCATCATATTCCAAAGGAATTCCTTGGAGAAGCACTTCAGGTTTTAGTTTCAAGGAAGCAAGCTAGCAGAAAACAGAACATCTTATTTGATAATCTTATGCATCTTTTCTGTGAGTTTGAGAGTACTGCAGTTCAATAGTGGGACAGCAACTGTTTCATTTGCCATGAAATGTAAGGTGGATAATTCTATACCAGTAGGGGGAAAAAAAAGAGAAAAGTTTCAGTGTTATTTAGGTCCTGGAGTTTTTTGCTGTAATTGAGAATATGTTGAAATGAAACACCTTAGCAGTCCTAGGATAGCTTCAACATAGCCTGTTACCTGCTTGTCTTCAACTGCTTATTACCAGAAAATATCACATATCACATAAAAATCACATGTTTATACATTGAACTAAGCTTGTATTTTGTGCGAAGGTCTGTCATCATTCGTTTGCTCTGTTTCCCAGTTTCATAATCAACCAATTAAAGCCATTTAAGATCCACTCCATATGCCAAAGAATTTAATTCTCTAAATTTTTTGTTGCACATGTAAAGACAATAATATCCACCTATGCAAAAGTATCTGCCTTGTGCAAATATTAATCGGCCTGCTCCAGGAACATGATGTGATAAATATTACTGTTTGCCTACAAAGGACACTGTTTCCCTATGAAATAAACATTCAATACATTGAATTTCTTGATACATGTAGAAATGGGAGCAAATTATTACATGATAGACTATCCCTATTTGTTGGTTTTTTTCCTCTTCTGTTACTTCACATTTGGTTTTATAAGTATCCTAAAATATAAAACTTATATCAACTTGATCAGTATTTTGAGAAAATGTATTTTAAGGTAAAGGTTAATTTGTGAAGGAATGATTCAGCTAGAAACACACATGTTGTATGAGTGCACAGAATTCACAGAAAAGTGGTGACAAAGACTGCCTGATGTCCCTTCGTAGTACAGCCAAATAGAAGGACTACACATCGTTGCGAGACCACCTCACAGAGACAGAATATGCATCTGAAGGTAAGCATGACTAGCCCATATTTAGTAACAGGAATCTTACCCACACCCTCTTTCCTATAATCCAACCCCATTTCTGCAGAGTTTGTGTTCAGTCTAGCCAGTGGTGGGCTTGTCCATGGTACGGTACACCAGCCTTACCTTTCACTCTGACTGTGAAGGTCTCTCAGTGATGATAAGGAAACCAAGAATAATTTTTCAAAAAGTAAAACACTTGAAACATCTTTTAAAGACCTTATATTCTTAGCTAGAGTGGTCAGGCTCATCTTTCAAAAATATCTTGGTCTCAGTTACAGTTCCTCAGACCTGCTGAGTCACTGCAGATAAATCTCTTCAATAATCAGGGTTTCATTAAAATAAGGTAATGAGGTAAATTTGGTTTGAAAGGTATTTTGTGATCTTCTGAAGAAATGTATTCTGTAATAAGCAGAGAGCTTATTATACAGAAAGAATAATATTCTTTCCATCTAGCAATATTCTTGAAAATTAAAGAAACTCTCAAGACCTGCCTTCTTACAAGTCAGGAACAGAAAGCATTTCTCCTTTCCCTTGTTTCATCTTGCCTTTTTGAGCCTGTAAAAACCAAAACAGAAACAGGATAGACCATATCCACAGATGCTGACAGTCCATTCACACTGGACAAAGCTGATGAAGAAGGGAGACAAAAGGACTTCTGGAGAAGCAAAGTCAAAAGTCAAAGAGATCACATAAAAACAAACTGCCGCTCAGTCCAGCTAAATAAATAATAACAATACACATGACAGATGATACCAGCTTGGACAAAACAAAGAGTGACATTTTTTCACACCTTGCTTTTTCTAAAACACACTTCTCAGCCAAAGCAAATAACATTCCAACTGAGAAAAAATGATTTGCCATGAGTCTTGACAATACGGAAAGAGGATTTTATATGGAAAAATTCTTGGCAGAATCTCCTATTTCCACTTAAGGAACATTACTTGGCTCTAGACTGAGATGATACGGATGAGGGCAAGACAATTAAACAGTAGATGATAAAGAAGGAAAAGGAGCAAAAACTGTTTTTTTTTAATCTGAAAGAATTTTTGTATTATTTATATATTTGCAATTGTGCAAGTTGTCTGCTTTGTAAGTAGCACATATACATTAAATAAACTTTTTATGTAAAGAAATTAACACTGATCCACACTTTATTAAAAGAGATCTTGATTGTCCACTTTTAAAATGGAGGAAGTGTTATTCTGTAAGGTCTTTAGGCCATAGGCTTGTCTCTCTGCACTTGCTGCTTAGGGAAAGCCACACAAAAGCCAAGCAATATTTACTGTGATAAGGTCTCTGAATTATACAGAAGAAATTGTTCACTCAAAAAGGAGAAAGCAGTACATACACAGGATTATTTTGTTACCATTATTTAGGCTTCAATTTAGCAAAGCACTTGCGTATGTACTTTAAATCCATTAATTGTTGTTAATTAGTTGAGACCCTCCTGTAATATTGACAGCTTACCTTTGAAGATACACTATTCAAATTCTCCACAATGTAGAATGAATAAGACTTTTTCATAGCCTTCATTTTCTGTCTTCTCTGGCTTTTGTTCTTTCATGCTGTGAGTGAGGACTGTTGCAGCATGCTAGAGGTAGAAAGAGTCCATAACCCATACCTTGTAGCAATCACCTTCAGTTTGATTGTTGAATTTCTGGTTTTCAGTTCTGTGAAGTGCCTGTGCTGGGCTAAAATTAATTGTGACTGAAAAAGAATGGCATTTTCAAAGTTGTTATGACAATCTGCTTCCTTCATTGAGATGCATAAGGCCTAGATATTCCATTTTTTTCCAAGGCCACTTGTGTAACTCTTAGCAAATATATTGGCTATGTGGTGGATGACTCAATTGTCCTGGAATAAAATACTGCATTGACAAATCTACTTGTACTTCTGTGTCACCAAGAAAGTAATATTCATTCTTAAAGCAGGCATTTCCTGCCAAATCCTCAATAAAAGCAGGGGACTATAGGGACTTAGTTACAATTCTCCATTTTCAATTTAAAAGACTTTGAGTCAAGAGAATAATTTTATGTATTCCTGAGAACCCATCACTGATAGAGCAGATTAACATAGTGGTCAAAATTTTCTAGTTTATCTGAAAGAAACACAGCTCTTTCAAAGACCAGCTTTTCATTCAATTCACATTTTTCCTTTATTCTTTGAAGGAAAGGAGCCCCAAAGGAACTCCATTAGTGATTTTCCTTACTTCAGTTCAAGCATATGTGAACTGAAATCTTAAATTTGAAGCATACACCATGAGCAAAAAGAAATTTGCATTATTTCTCAGTGCTATCTATTAAAAGACAAACTTGATTTCAATCAGCCACAGTTTCTGGGGGGCACAGGTTTGTCCCCTTTTCCACCAGAACAGGCATGATACAATTACTTTGTAAGCACTGTGTTTCTTCCAACGCTAGAACGCAAAGCAGTGCTTCAATAGAGCCTGTGAAAATATAAATCTATTGCTTGTATATTGTTTAACTTACTTTCCCTTTTTTATTTTCCTTTTTAGTTTCCCCTCCTTCATCAAAGTTTTTTTTTCCAGACAATAAAGTAGATGTGGGTAGATTTGGATTAAATGATAGCTACATCTAGTGTTTTAAATAGCAGTCAGATCTGGATCCTTTGTTAGAGCTGATAGGAAGAGGCAGAAGGATGGAGAGTTTCACTAGGCTGCAGCAGCCAAGCTAAAGAGATGCAGACAACCAGAGAGAACAGAGGAGTGATTTTTGGATTGACTGAACAAGAATAGCCAGACAAGGACCATGTCAAATCAGAACATAGTGTGAAGAATGAGAATGAGGTCTGAAGGACTGCTGAAACACAGAGAACTTGAAGTTGTTGGGTGACCGGGTGAGTCAAATAAAGATATGGAGATTTTGATAAGGCTTGGAAAGAGTCAAAGAGTGAGCTTCAGAGTAGTAGAGGTTGAACTCCCCAGGATAATGGAGGGCTTAGAAGGGAAGGGATTTGGAATTGAAGGAAGCACCTCTTGTCAGGGCAAGCCTAAAATCAGAATGAAATACAGATAAGAAGTCTCTAAGAGGCAATCATGTGAAAAGCCTGTGTTTCCCTGCTAGCCTATTAGGCCCCTAATATACAATGACAACTGCTACCAAAGCCACAATATGTACAGACCACAGTTGTCTTTGGAGAGATACCGGCATAATCCTGACAGGTCTGAGATAAAAGATTAAATGTTGGATGGATTGCTGAGCAGGTACAACCATGGAAATGTGGAATCCTCTTTTTGTGGTTTAAAACCAAATGCTGAAGCAGTATCTAACTGGAATTGGATACAAAAACAACTTAATCACAGATAAATGCAATTTTACAAATTATTGTACTTCTCTGCTCTGCAAGTGGGATAGCATTGTCCAGGAGAAAAGTTGGTTGAGTTATCTTAGATTCTAGCCATGCTATACACAGACCTTGTCCAGACTTGGAGTCCTTTAGGTGCTCTCTTGATGGTAAACTGATGACCATCAGTTATCTGATTTGATAGACACAAACAAATTCTTGGTTATCTCATTGAAATTTGTGAAATGCCCAAAAACTGTCACTGTTGCTTGGTGCTCACAATCTGCTTTCCTCAAAGATTACACTACAAGCGTTAGGTTGCTTACTCTCTTCTGTCCTTAAAAGTAAGTTACTCCCTTATCCTTTTGAGTTAACTAAATTCCGTATGTTAATAGTATGTCAACAGGACCTAACCTGTGTGAACTGATACACTTCTACTTTTTGTTCTGTTGACATGCCCATAAATATCCATATGGATTAGTTCCATGCATTGCTGTTTCTGAAACTATATATACACGCATTGAGACATTCTCCAGATCTTAATAGCTGAACTAATTGTTAATGCCACTAATATGAGAATTTGTCCAAGTAAATTTATTCATTACAAATGTGGAATTATTCATATAGTTACAATTATTTAGCAACCTCATTTATCATTCTCAGTTCTGTTGAGTACCAGAGTCAAGATTAGGTCTTTTGTGGAAGACACTGCTTTCCATCTAGTGCCTTGCCCATAGGTTGTTTTACATGTATTTTTGTACACCTGCCCTACTGCAAATCTCCTCACCACTCATTTTCCAGCATTCTGTTGTGAGAGTCATGGTAGCAGAAGTGTTTGTGGGTGGATGGCATATGCTGGCACTACATGTAGCACATAGCAGTCCTCTAAGCAGAGCAAAACAGATTTGGTATGTCATGATGTCTTTTTTTGACCTTGGTGGCCCAGATGGGTTACCCAAATATTTCCATCTGCATTTTTTTCCTTTGTTTAATTCATTCCCACACAGCATTGGCTGGCATCCAGGAGCTGATACGGACATGCACTGTAGTCCTGGCAATTGGGGCAGTAACTAAAGGGGTTATTCTGTTCCTAGTATTTCAGCTTTAGGGACTCCAGCACAGGTGTTGCAGAGCCCTCTCTTTTGATCTGTGTGGCTAGCTTCTCACCCCCAATATCTATCTGTGGCTTCAAACCCCAGTGATTTTCTTTGATTCCATCACAATCCTGCAGGATATTTTGTACTCTACTAGCATCTCAGATATGGCTTAGGGTCACAGCTGCATTGCGACTTGTTTCTCTTGTTGAAAGGCTTGCTGTTATTTAACTTTGATTTGTGCATGGGTCACTTTAGCTTGAGGTGATCCTCTCTTGTTAGTCTCTTCTCCTTTGGGGATAACTAAAGGCCATATCCTAACACCTTTTTCAACAAGGCCTAATGTAAATTAGGCCTTGTTTGATGGAAAGTAAGAGTGATTTTCTGCTGCATGAAAGGCCGAGAGATCTTGAGAATCTGTGAGCCAAAGAGAGGGTTTTGAGTTGAGAGGAGAAGGTTAGATCAGGTGTAGTTCCTCAAAGCATGGGTATTTAAAGTCAGTACTCTGATTTCAGGAAAGTGGTGCATAGGGGAATTCTCCCCTTCCCTTCCTCCACATCATGCAGGAGAACTTCCAGTTTCTTTATTCTTTTAAAAACATAAGTGTAACCCTGGAAATATAATAGCCTAATTACCATAAGGCTATTGGTTAATATGACAATTATATTAGGCATATAGCATGTTTTAGGCTATGGTAAATAGGCAAGTGCATTGAGGGTGGTGGGGCACTGGAACAGGCGTCACAGGGAAGGGGTCACAGCACCAAGCCTGACAGAGTTCAAGAAGTGTTGGGACAATGCTCTCAGGCAGGTGCTGTGATTCTTGGGGTTTTCTTGTGCAGGGCCAGGATTTAGACTTCAATGATTTTTGTAGATATCCTATGATTGCAATTAAAAATTGGTAGTATTACACTGCACTTTCTTTCCAGAGGATGTAGTCTCACAGTTGAAATTGACTGCAGACAAAGCATCATATATGGATACCAGAAACCTCAAAAAAAAAAAAAAAAAAAAGAGCTACTCTGAATCACTGTCAGTGAATGTTACAGCAAAGCTTAAGAAATTTTTCTTAAGAATTTCAGAGCAACCAAAGTTTTGGAAGAGGAAAAAACTGAAAAAAGTACTACTGAAATGCAAAAGACATTTTTAAGCATGTATATAAAGAAAAGTTTTGCTTGGTTTTGGCTTCAGTATTTCCTCAGTTATTCATATGAATTTTTCTTTATAGTCCAAAATTTATTAAAAATACAGAATCATGCAAGCCATTATGAGATATCAGAAAAACAGGAGATTTTGCTCTTCAATAAAACCAGTGACAATTTCAATTAGATTTCTCAGGCTTTTCTTCCCAGAGTCATGGTGTTGAAGTTAAAAAAAAAAAAAAAAAAAGATTGAATAGTTTATTGGATTCAGCTACCATATAGCTTTCAGTGTGTCAGAACAGATTTTTAAAGTGCAGAAAATAGAGAAAACCCGACGAGAAGATGATTAAATTTTCTCTATTATTGATACTGTAAACCCATAGATTTGCCACATGTTCAGTATAGCTTGGATTAAAGTGTGAGGATATAGCTTGGATTAAAGTAAAGGATAAAAGTGGTCCTGTGTGTAGGACTGATCAATTTATCATTGACCAAAAGCAAGTGCTTTTGACCCAATGTAGTAAACATAATGTTATCACTCATATTTAAATTATTAGGTGACATTTCAATGTAAGAATGTCTTTACAGAGAGTCCTTGTGAATAACTTGGTTTTTCATATCTTGAAGGAAATATCTTTAAAAGAAGGCTAATGATTTACTTTGGCCTGTAATTATTGTCATTTCCTAGTGACCTCCAGTAAGGGCATCACTGGTGGCAGGTGACATTTCTTATTAGTGAAAAAAAACCAGAGGTTTTAAAGTTCCTTTTCAAATAAATGAAATCTTTATAATTGTAAAGGCCTGCTTGTTCCCATCAGAAAAAATTTTGACCTCTGAAAACTGATAAGAATTCTGAAGTTGGAGAAATCACAGGTGCTGCACTGTCCAATCTCTATTGGTGTTCACACTGTTTACCTGGAAGACCAGTTTGACCACAGAGGAGGAACACCCAAGAATTTTACTTATTTGTTTGTCTTCAACTATATTCAAGTGAGGAAACATCTTTATGGCAGGCACTATAACAGTGTTAATGGAGAAAAATTGAATTCCCTAGCATCCAGTTTCTTTCTCATTCTGTACCCAACATACTGCAGGACTCCCAGTTCAAACTGGAAGGCAACAATGCACACTGAGTATGTGCAGTAGCCAAGGGCTAAAAAACAGCCCTCTGCAAAACTACAAGGGTATTCA